CGGTGGTTTGTGGACGTTTGTTGTGGTGGTGGTGGCGGCGGTTGTTGTGGCGGTGGTGTGGTCGTTTGTGGTTAGGGCGGTGGATTGTGCTGCTGGTAGTGGTTGTGGCGGTGGTGGTGGTGGTGTCGTAGATTGTGGTGGTTGTGGTAGTGGTGGTGGGTTTTTGTGGTGGTGGTGGTGGCGGTGATGGTGAGTTGTGTTGGTGGTTGTGGTCGTGGTGGTGGTGGCTGTGGTGGTGGTGGTGGTTGTTTGGTGCTGTGAGTGGTGGTGGTGGTGGGTTGAGGCGGTGGTGGTGGTGGTAGTGGTGGTGGTGGTAATTGTCGCTGCGTCCACGCCGTCGCCAGCGCCAGCGCCGGCGCTGCTGGCCGCCGCCAGCGCCGGCGCAGGCGCGAGGGGGGGGGGGTGAAACCCCCGCTCCCCCCCCCCTGAGCTGCCTGTGGTCATCGTCGCTGCGTCCCCGCCGTGGGCGCTGCTGGCGTCCGCCAGCGCTGGCGCCGACTGGGCGGGGGTTTGAACCCCCCCTCCCTTCCCCTCCCAGGTTGAGCCTGGGAGGGGAGGGGGGGGGTCGGAATGGGAGGGTTTGGGGGGAGGGGAGTTCCTTTGATTTTGATCGACGGCGCCGGGTGTTGGGGGGGGAGGCCCACCCCCCGGTTTGAAACGCGCCGCGGAATGTTCCCAAGGCAAGCGCCCGTGAAACGCGTTCTCTCGAATTTGTGGAGCGTCGCGCAGGTCTCCCCAGCGCGCGGGGCGCGCTGGGAGCGCCGCGGGGGGGCCCAGCGCAGATCCGAGACGTTCGCGCGGACCGTCAAAAACTTTGTGTTTATGCTTTTTTTCGGGTATAGCCATGACCCCAGGTAAGGGGACCCGGTTAGTGGTAGGGCCCCAGAGCCCTGGCATTAGCCAGAATCATTAATGTTTTTGTTCGGGTGGCGGCAATACTGATTACTGGAACGGTGCGGGGCGGGCGTCCCCCAGTAAACATATGTAAACCAGGTCCCGCTAAACCCACTTTTGCCCACGCACGATTGTTATTGGCTGACCCTAAAGGGGGTCCAGCGACGAGGGGGTGGTGTAACGAATCCATGAGTTCGTGGGTTGCCATAGGTTTGGGGCGTGCGATACACGCCGGGGCGCACATACACTGTTAGATGTTCGCGTGCATTATACATTCGTTGCAACAGAATGCAGTATAAGTTTCTGGCGCACTGCATTTGCAACACAATTGCCCCACATCTAGTGCACCACTTCCTTTCAGCTGGACCCCTTTGGGCCAAACAACTGTTTTTGTTCTCCAGGAGGGGTCCGGTGAGAACCGGCTTTTGGAGGCTCTTCGCAGGTGTCGGGCTTCGCGGGTCCTGGGCCCGCTCCCCTCGGGAGTTCCTGCGCTCGGCACGATCGAAAAGGGCGCGGGAAGCGTAGGGCCCGCCGTCGGCGTCGCCGCGGGCATTGTCCAGCTGAGACACAAGGCCGCCTGCCAAACAGCGGCCGCTGTCGGTTTTTGACAACATGCCCACTTCGGGCGTCCACAGGCCCTCCCTTCTGGCAGGCTCTGGCGGCCCTCGCCCCCCCCCCCCTGGCGCTGGCCCCCTCTGGCCCGGCCCTTCCCCTGAGGTCGCCATGGAGGAAAGGGGTCCTGAGGCGTATCGCCGTTCTCGGGATTTTCGGGGCCTTCTCTCCATGGGGTTCTGGGACCGCAAGAAAAAGACGCAGGGTGAAGAAAATCTCGTCCCGGGGGGAGGCCCCCAGGATCCAGGACCCGCTTCCTTCCGGAGCAGCTCCCCCCCGTGACCTTGGGTGCGCAGCCTGTGCGGCGCGCGGGGGGGGGGTTCAGACCCACGGTCGGCAAGCCGCGCACCAGAGCCTACCCTTGCCCAGGCCCGCTCCTGCATGTGGCCGCTTCCTCTTCCACAGCAATCTCGTACGGCCCTTGCGCCAGCCAGGTGGAAGGCGGGCCCAGCCTTACGTCGGGCCTGTCCCTCTACTGGAGGAGTATTCAAAAATGGTCAAAAAATAGTCTGGCGATTTGTTCTTGATTCTGCTTCTGATTACTTTGGGGTAGTTTCATAATCTTTTCATGTTTCGCCCACAATCCGCCTCCAGGGGGACACGCCCGACCTAAGCCTAGCCCCGCCCCCCCCCCCCCCGGGCGCGCGACCCTTGCGTTGCTGGAGGCGGGCCCGCGCCCGAAGAGATGGCCAACATCGTGCTGGTCACCGAGGACATCGCGCCGGCTCTGTTCCAGGCCCGCCTCCGGTTGACTCCCGTCCTTGTCGCCAGCGACAGCGCCGTCTTCGCAGTCGTCGTTGTCGTCGCCGCCGCCGCCGCCGCTGGCGTCGTCGTCGGCCGTCTCGTTCCGCGCCTCCGTCGCGGCGAGGGGAGGGTCGTTTTGAAGATGGAGGGGGTCCTGAGGGGCAGGGGTCCCAGGCGCCCGGAAGAAGGCCCAGGGACAGTTGAGGGACGCAAACTTACGTGATCGCCTTCGCCGACATTCGCGCGCAAGCTTCCCGCGTAATGTTGCGCGCGAGCGCCCTCGTTTCCAGTGTGGCGTGCCGTGCTGGCGGCCCGCGTCAGCCGCCGCGTCATGCCGCTGTGTCATCGTTCTCGAGACCCTTGTCTTTGCGTCGCCCGGTTGGAAACAGAGTTGGCATGATGAGCCTGTCCTCGGGGCAGACCCAGAGTCCAGGACCCGCTCCCTCTGGGCTGAGGAGTGTCGCTCCCCCAGACCGCCCAAAAACGGGTCCCGAGTGTGTGGCGATGCGTCCGCGATTGCGGCGCGATCCAGCGCCCAGGTTTCTCCATGACGACGTCGCCGATGCGTTGTCGATGGATCGCCGAGGCGGTGCGATCCTCCGACCCCGCCTGGGCACGCGCAGAAGGGGTTAGGGGGAGGGGGGAAGGCTTCTTGGAAGCACCCCTGCTTCTTAGAAGGCGCGGGCCTTCTTTGTAGATGTAAGGCCAGCGCCTTCTAGGAAGCAGCCCCCTTCTAAGAAGCCTTCCCCCCTCCCCCTACCCCCTTGTGCGCGCCGCCAACCCACCTGTCCCTGGCTACGATTGGGCGGCCTCCATTCCCCGAGTGTTGCCAGACGTGTTTGTGGCCCAGGAAGTCACCAGGATTTCCAGGGAGCCCCCCACGGCCTCCAGAGAGCGCCCCTCTCAAGGCCCAGAGGGCCCCGAGAGCCCCAAGATTTGGGGCGAAACGTTTGGGACATCCTGTTCCAGGAGCACCTTGGGCATACCCCGAAGACCCCGCGACCCACCCCGCGACCCACCCGCGACCCGCCCGCGACCCGCCCGCGACCCACCCGCGACCCACCCCGAGACCCACCCCGAGACCCACCCGCGACCCACCCCGCGACCCACCCCGCGACCCACCCCGTGACTCAGCCTGCGACCCACCCGCGACCTCTTGGATGTTCAGGCTCGTGTGTGGGACCTAGACGTCTTCTCTCCCTGGTGAGCGCTCTACGTTCTACGCCCAGTTGCGTGTTCCACTATCGGCGAGCCCACGTTGTCAGGCATCTTGTGGCCTTGTCTCGCCTACGCTCCCCGTTTCTCTTTTTGCCCTCCGCCAGCGAAGTGGCACCACAGTCGCGTCAGAAGATGTAAGATGAAGCGAACATACGAATTACCTTGAGACCGGTCTCCCTCTCTCTCTCTCTCTCCGTCTCTCCCTCTCTTTCTCTCTCGCTATCTCACACAAACACTCTCGTTTTTTGTCTTCCCCTGTCCTCCTCTCCTTGCTCCCGCATCCTGTGCGAAAGGTCCCGTGTGCCGCATCTCTGCGTTCCTATGCTTGTCTGTGCCTCCTTCGACGTCGCGAGCCATGAAGAAGCAGCACCGCCTCTGCTCCCGCGGCCACAGAGTCCTCGGCAGAAAGTTGATGCGCCGTCGAAGAGGAAGAAGGATGGGTGTGCACCCCCTGGTCGTGAGGAAGGAATTCGTGGTAAGAAGTGTGGCCCTGGTCTGTCCCGTCGACGTGCACACTCCCTGGGCCCGAATCAGGATGCGAAGGGGCCGAGACGGAGACGCCGCTTCCTTTCTCGAGGCCCGTGCCCAAACCTCGAGCAGACGCGCCTGGGATCTGCGGCCGTCCGAGAGACCCCCCGCCCGTTGCAGGGCAGGCGTGGGCGCAGGAAGCGGAGGTCGACCCCCTCACGGGAAGTCCCCCGCCCTCTCCGAGGGCATGGAGACGAAGGAGAAGGAGAAGAAACAGCGCGTTGCCATGTCTGCTTCCCCGCTCCCTTCGTGCCCATCCTGACCAGACAGAGGCTGGGAGGTTGCCCGGGCGTCTGGGCATCGTCAACAAAAAATCGCGTTCAGATCGTTCGCTCTGTTTCGGGCCTCGGGTTCCGCACCGATCGGTCTGGCTCGAAAAATCCAGCATTCAGATGCGGTCGAGAGCTCCGAATGTGATTTTTCTGGCCGGCGTGATGTTTTACAAAGTCTGGTTGAACTCCTCCGCCCCCACATCGAGAGGGCAGCAGCAGGAGGCGTCGAGAAAGAGGATGTGGGGGAGTGGGGGGGCGGAGGCTTGGCGGGAAAAGGTGGGGATAGAAAGGGGGGACGGCAGCAGGGTGGGAGGGAGGTGGAGGGGGACCCCCCTGCCACATTTTGTGCCCCTCTGGTCCAGCTCCCTCGCCCTGTCCCCGCGCAACTACCACGACGACGACGGGTACTACAATTACCACTACTGCTTGTATTACGCCGACTACTACTACTACTACTACTACTACTACTACTACTACTTACTACTACTTACTACTACTACTACTACTACTACTACTACTACTACTACTACTACTACTACTACTACTACTACTACTACTACTACTACTACTACTACTACTACTACTACTACTACTACTACTACTACTACTACTACTAGTACTAGTACTAGTACTACTACTACCACTACTAATACTACTACTGCTACTACTACTAATACTGCTATCACCACGATCACTATCATTATTATGACTACTACTTGTACTACTACTACG